GAAGAGGAGGAGGAGGAGGAGGAGAAGGAAGAATAGGAATGTGGAATCCTTGGTGCTCTCTGACTTGGCTGTTTTCTTGCAGACTAGGTAACATCATCAGTACTAGAGGGAGTTTGCGGAGAGGAAGAGGAGGAGGAGGAGGAGGAGGAGGAGGAATGTGGAATCCTTGGTGCTCTCTGAGCTTGGTTGTTTTCTTGCAGACTAGGTAACATCATCAGTACTAAAGGGAGTTTGCGGAGAGGAAGAGGAGGAGGAAGAGGAGGAGGAGGAAGAGGAGGAGGAGGAAGAGGAGGAGGAGGAATAGGAATGTGGAATCCTTGGTGCTCTCTGAGCTTGGTTGTTTTCTTGCAGACTAGGTAACATCATCAGTACTAGAGGGAGTTTGCGGAGAGTAGGAGGAGGAGGACTATGGGGTCCTTGATACTTTCTGTGCTTGGTGGTTTATTTGCAGACATTTCATTACCTAGCTGGGTAACATTATCAGTAATTACCAGCACAGATGAGGTTATTTAGCTTGGTAATGAAACGTCTGCAATCATATCACCAAACTCAGAGAGCAGCAAGGATTTTGCCTTTTCACAGTTCCTCCTACAAGCCTATTTAGAACTTGCCCTTAATAGAAATGTTCTCGGTTCAACTTACAGATACGAAAAAGGTAAAACTGGTCTATCAAGTCAGTTTTATGGTTACATGCTAAGCTGGGGGGGGGGGGAATTACACAATGGAACGCTTTCTCCCTGATTGCCTAGAAGTTACTCTTTACTCATCACGGACAACTAGGCACAGAATGTTACACCAGAGTGGAATCTCTCTGTGTGTGTGTTTGTGGTTGAGCAAACGTTCCTCTTCTGCTCATTGGATTCCTGGTCAGTGTCTGTTCACACTTCCACCATCGGGCAAGAAGACATCGAAGCAGAGCCAGCCGAACAAATTGGTTTAAAAACAGTTTCTATCCTTGGGCTGTCGGACTCTTAAACACAACCACAATCGCTCCATGCACACGCAGAAACGTATGGCTAATTTTCCTTTCTTTTTCTCTTTTCCCCTAATCACTTGCATTGGGATTATTCTTTATACTATTTATGTTGTTTATATTTTTTTTGCACCAGTGAGGCTAAAACCAATTTTGCTGTATTTATTTTGTACAATGACAATAAAGGCTATTATCAGTGGTGGCAAACCTATGGCACGTGTGCCAGAAGTGGCACTCAGAGCCCTCTCTGTGGGCACTTGCTCCAGCCCAGCTCCATTGTGTTTCTCCCATGGGGGGGGCAGGGAGGGAGGAAAAGAGAGGGAGGAGGGAAAGAGAGAGAGAGGGAAGGAAGGAAAAAGAGAGGGAGGGAAAGAGAGAGAAAAAGAGAAGGGGGAGAGAGGGAGGGAAAGAGAAAGCGAGGGAGAGAAAGAGAGAGGGAGGGAGGGAAAGAGAGAGCGAAAGAGAGGGGGGAGAGGGAAAGAGGGGGAAGAGAGAGAGGGAGGGAAAGAGAGAAAGAGAGAGGGAGGGAAAGAGAGAAAGAGAGAGGGAGGGAAAGAGAGAA